AAAGCCTGTAAAAAACTTGTCACTGACATGCATCACGAGGTGCGCATCCAGACCATCGTAACCTACTACGGGTCGAAGCTTGGAGAGAGGAAAACCAAGAAAGACGCAAGAGAGATGCAGCTGACCCGGGAGCAGTACCTTGAGGTAAATGAAGAACATCAATATTGATTCGTTTTGAGATTAAGTTGGTTTAATTTGATCTTCTTATATGTCCAATACTTGATGACGTGTAGATGATTCCCTGGTGGTGCCAAGCGTATCCCGAGTGCTGGGCGATGATGGTGGAGAGGTGGTTCACGGAGGAGTACCTCAAGATGCACAGGGATGCCCGGGACCGTCATTTGCGGATGCAAGGTCCAGCACACCATCAAGGCAGCCACAGCCTCGCCGGATACAAACAAACATGGCTACGCGAATTCATTTATCTATTGTGACGCTCAGTTCTGCCTGATTTCTAATCATCGTGCTGTCTTTCTCGCAGTCGGCGTCACATAGTGGTTAGGCTTGCTCGGACTTCCAGGCATGGTGTATGGCCCACAAGGGCAAGGCGACGTCCGATGTCTCCTTCAACCTAGAGGACCCGCCCGAGGCATACACGAACCTGAGCGTCCACTCCCGCATTAGTGAGTACACTGAGGTGGCGAGGTCGCTCCATGGGCGGACCACGATCCGAGCACCCAGGACTTCGATGGAGAGGCCATCATGAGGGCGGGGCAAGACAAGAAGCATGGGCGGTTCTGGCTTGGCGACGACGTCATCAACACGGCCTCTACTCCCTCTCTCTCCCAGATCCGAGCACGGTGCACGAGCGAGAGCCCAGCCATTCGCACACGGCCGACCGCTGCATAGCACCGGGTCGACGCACTCGAGGTTATTCCTGTTTTACTCATCATATATTGATCTTTACACACCTTAATTAGCTTTGCATTACTAAAACATTGGAGTAAAATATTGCAGACCTGGCTGGAACAAGAAATGAGGCAACGTCAGGAGCTGGAGGTCGGGCAGCAGAGGATGGCGGCCCAGCTGGAGGCCGAGCGGTAGGCCCAGGCGCAGAGGCTGACGGATATTATGGAGTTCCTACAAGGGCTTGTGCAACGTGTGGGCTTCTCTCTGCCAGCTGGGCTGTTGGTTCCACCTCCGCCTCCGTGTCCTGCAGCTGCAGCTACTCCTGTGAGTATGAAAGTTTTTTACTTTCGCTTGTGCTTTGCTTGTATGGCCTCTACCTTTCTAGATTAGCTATCCAAATAATCTTGTCTCACATGCAATCTTTTCTCCTTTGTGCAGTCTCCATCTGACGGTGGTTCGAATAATCCACCTCATGCACCTCCGAATGATGGAGCTAGGCCTTCACCACAGTCGCAGTGGCCGAGATGAGTGCACGTTATATTTTTTCATTTGTTGTTCACTTGGTGATGGACTTGTGATATACTTGTGATGCACTTGTGGACTTTGATGGACTTGTGATGGACTTGTGGATTTATTTGGATGGACTTGAGCACTTATTATTATATATGTGATATGTGCGGATGGATGTGTGGATCGATGAGATATATATGTGATGGATGTGATATGTGCTGATGGATGTGTGGATGGATGAGTGATGAATGAGATATATATGTGATGGATGAGATATATATGTGATATATGTTTGTATGAATTTATTTGTCATGATCGAATGTAAAAAAATTAAAAGTTGCCGTTTTGGGTCACTTTGCCGAGTGTTGCAGTCGGCAAAGGACCCCGTTGCCGAGTGCTATGGTTATAGCACTCGGCAAAGCTGGAAAAATGGGTGCTTAGAAAACCATTTTTCCAGCTTTGCCGAGTGCCATGACTATGGTACTCGGCAAAGAATTTTTTCAAACTTTGCCGAGTGCCGGCCAGAGGGCACTCGGCAAAGATTTTTTTTAAAAAAAATTCAAACTTTGCCGAGCGCCGGCCAGGGGGCACTCGGAAAACAATTTTTAGAAAAAAAACATCTTTGCCGAGGGTCGGATAGAGGGCACTCGGCAAAGATTTTTTTTTAAAAAAAAAAATCTTTGCCGAGTGCCTACAGGGTTGGTACTCGGCAAAGCGACCGTCAACAGGGCCGGCGTCATGACAATCGCTTTTTTTGCCGAGTGCCACCGAGGCTCTCGGCAAAGCCTTTGCCGAGTGTTCAATAAAAGACACTCGACAAAGAGGGCTTTGCCGATCAATTTTTTACCGTGTGTTCTTTGCCAAGTGCGCTTTTCGGCAAAGGCTTTCAAAATTTGGCTTTGCCGAGTGCCTTATGCAAAGAACTGACCTTTGACTACGGAACCTCGGCACTCCGGCAAAGAACCTGAATCCAGTAGTGACTACCGGAACCATGGCACTCGGCAAAGCCCCAAAAACACTCGGCAAAGGGTTTACCGAGTGTAACACTCGGTAAACGACACTCTGCGAACGTTTTAACGGCAAAGAGCTGTTTGCCGAGTGTTAATCGTCGGGCACTCGGCAAAGACTTTGCCGAGTGCCCTAAAAACACTCGGCAAATATTTTTTGAAAAAAATAAAAAAAACAAGCACCCTGCTCCGCCGGCCGCCACCACCGCCCATGCCACTGCCTCCACCACCGGCCTTGTCGCCGCCGACACCACCACAAAGCCACCTCCTCCGCCAACGCCACCTCCTGCTCTGCCAACGCCACCACCAACGCCCATGCCGCCAGGCCACCGGGGAAGGAGGGGGCGCCGGATCCGCGCCGCCACGTCGCCGAGGAAGGAGGGAGCGCCGGATCCGCCAGGGAAGGAGGGGGTGCCCATGCCGCCTGGCCGTTGGGGAAGGTGGCGGCGCCGGATCCGCGCCGCCACGCCGCCGGGGAAGGAGGGGGCGCCGGATCCCCGCCGCCAGGCCGCCGGGGAAGGAGGGGGCGCCTGATCCGCGCCGCCAGGCCGCTGGGGAAGGAGGAGGCGCCGGATCCGTGGGGGACGTCGCCGGGGAAGGAGGGAGGAGGGGATCGGGAGCGGAGGGGAGGGCCGGCGGCTGGAGGGGAAGAGGGCGTCTGGGAGAGGAGGAGAGGGGGTGTTGGGGGCCGGGAGGAGAGGGGAAGAAGGGGTGGGGCGCTGGGGACGGGAGGGGTGGGTTAAGTAGGATATTTTTTGTTTGCCGGGTGTTTCAGATCAGGGCACTCAGCAAGGTTTTTTTTTTTTTTTTCTTTTCCTTCTATTTTTTGACGAGGGTAAAAAAGAAAACACTCGACAAACCCTTTGCTTGCCAAGTGCAAAAAAGAAAACACTTGGCAAACCCTTTGTTTGCCAAGTGTAATTATTTTGCCGAGTGTTTTTAGCGTAGCACTTGGTAAAAGAGCTCTTTACCGAGTGTCCGAGGAAATGCACTGGCAAACATAAAAACACTTGGCAAATTAGAGGTTTCCGGTAGTGCCTGATGTCTTCAGCTGCCGCCTTGCTGCGGATGGACGCTACTCGGCTGCATCGGCTTACGGAGCGATGTTTTTCGGTTCAGCTACGCCGATTGGCGCCAAACACATTTGGAAGACCGCAGCGCCTCCAAGAGTTCGTTTCTTCTACAGGCTTCACCTGCAGGACGTCATTTTGGTGCAGGAGGAGAAGGCAATGGAATGGTGGCTTCGCAATAGGCAACTGATCGGCAAAGAAGTGCGGCGTGGGTTTGACTCCCTCTTCTTTCCGATCGGTTGGACGATTTGGAAGGAAAGGAATTCGAGAACCTTCAATGGTCCCCAAACCTCACCGTTGCAACTGGCGCAAAAGATACAGGCCGAGGCACAGGAGTGGTGTCTCGCAGGTTACAAGCAATTGTTGTCGCCGTTGTCGTTGCTGTAGGTTCCTCCTTCAAAGGATCGCAAAGTATGTAGCCGTAAATCACAACCACGTGCTGCCATTGGGCCGCGAAGCCTCGGTAATCCATGGATTACTGCCGCTGTTTGTTTGTAACTGTAAACTGTTATGTTCTCTTCTCCTGCTTATTGAATACCGTACCACAGGCACGTTCGAGAGAAGTCATAGGAGATCTTTGTAAATAACTTAGTGTCTTGCGATGTTGTCCAGATATCTGATTCAATAGCAAAGCCCTAGAGCCAGATTGCATGTTAAAAAAAAGAGAGTGGGGAATAGGGCTATCGAAGCAAGTGGCTGATGGGCCGGTCAGTAATGAGCTTGGGCCTTATGTCGTGCGTAGATAGGCCGGCCTGTGTGCCGAAGGAAAGAAGGGCCATGTATTGTGGAGAGCGTATAAATTCAGGATCTTTGTACTGGATGGTTAGGCAATAACAGAAGGGTATCCACCTGCATCTAAATTCTTCTTCGGTTCTCTGAATCTTCTGTTCTTGCTTCCTCCTCTTCATCAGAACTCTGATTCGACTCCAGTATTGGTACAAGCCCGCTAGGGTTTGTGACACAGTAGTGCAGCAGAACAAGAGGCTCGCCACCAGTAGTGCAGCAGAACGAGAGGCTCGCCGCCATGGGGTTGAGAGCCCATTCTCAGTAAGGACAGACGCCAACGGATGCTAGACCAGCTGGTCAAACACTCCGGGTGGCACCCTCATGGCCTGGGTTCGATCCCCCATGGGGCGAATTGCAGTGCCGGAGGTAAAAACCCCTTTGTCTGTCCCGTGTTATCCAAAGTACAGGTTTTGTGGCACCGGCCAACCCATAGGGTAACGGCCCCTGTGTGCAGGCGGGATACGAGGTTCGGCGATTTTCTCGGACTGGGTAAGGAGTCCTCTACCTTAATGCGAAATGCTCGGGGGTGCATGCTATCCCCGCAGTCTGAGTTTTCAGTAAGGACGGACCATACATGAAAGAAAATATATAGAGAAATGACATTTTTCGCTCAATTGTTGGGGACATATACTGCCCATGAAATACAATTTACAGTAACAGAGAATGCACACATATACATATCCACAATGACATCGCACGCGGAATATTTTTGTGGAGAAATAAAAGTAACTACGCGTTGTTCGAGGAAATTAAATAGGTCGATATATATCTTACAGCCTTATAGGTCTCCTCCTACTTGAGAACCAAGCTCGAGGCAAGCAACATCAGGCCGCGCGCTCATATGCAGAATCTGGATCGTTTGGGCCTGTACTTCTTGTTTTTTCTTGTTGAAGGCGAACAGGCACATGACGAAGCCCACTATGGGGACGAGCAGCACGATGACCTTCCAGGACGTGCACGCGTCCCGGGCGCTGCCTGCGGCGTAGGCTACCAGGAGGGCGACCATGCCCAGAAACATGGCCGTGTGCATCGGCCAGAGTGGCATGCGGCGGAGGCGGCCGTGAACGTCAGGCCACTGCAACATCATCCGCCGGAGCAGCAGGGCCATGACGACAATTGAGGCCATGAAGGAAGTAGAGTTGCTGTAGAAGAAGGCGTTGTACCGCGGCTTGCTGATGTCGTAGAGGACCGGGTTGCCAGCGGAGTGCCCGTCGCCGTCCTCCCTCCACAGGCCACCAGGCGGCTTCAGGCCCGTCAGGTAGGTGACGCTCGCACCCAGTATTCCTACCAGCATCAGGTACTCCAGCATCATGTTGTCTTTCTTCGCCTTCGCCTTCGCCATCGCCATCGCCTTTCGTTCTTCCTCCTCGTCCTCCCCCTGTGCTGTCGGTTCATCGTCCCCGTCTGAATAACGCTTGTTGCTTACATGATAAAGTCCGATTGCCAGACAGACTAGAGCTGCAAAAACTGCAATGACCAGTGCTAACGAAATGATGGAGGTCCTTAGGTGCAGGGAGCTCCCGGCAGCGTAGGCCGCCATGAGGCCGAACATGCCCGCTACCATGCAGACATACAGCGCGTAGCACCGTATGCCTGGCCTATACAGGTTTGCATTCAGGAGGAGGAGGATGAGCGCCACAGACGCCATGAAGCTTGCCGCGTTGCAGTAGAAGAACGCCTTGTAGCGGCGAGGGTACTTGTCCTGAAGGACCGGGAAGCCCGCGCGGTGTCCGGACCTGTCGTCGTCCTTCTCCCAGAAACCACCGGGCGGGGTCAAGCCGGCCTGGTACGTGAGTGTCGCGGCCAGGATTGCAAGAAGCAGCAGCACCTCACGGTACTCGTCCAGCTCTTGGTGACCGCCTTTGCCGTTGCGGTTGCGGTTGCCGTTGCCGTTGCCGTTGCCACTGTGCTCTGCTGTCGTGAAGAAGACAATGTGAATCACCACGTAGATGAGGACGGCTCCAGCCATGGCCACCGTGTAGATGGAGGTGCTCGTGTCCCTGCAGCTTCCGGTAGCGTATGCGCCGACGAGGGCAAACAAGTCCAGTATGATGGCTTTCTCCAGGACATGGAGTCTAAGCAGAGACTCCTTCTGCAGCATTGCCATGATCACGAGGGATGCCACGAATGCTGCCGAGTTGAAGTAGAAGAAGACCTCGAACCGCCCATGGTGAGTGGTCAAGAGTATTGGGTCTCCTACGCTGTGGCCAGCGCCCTTCTCTGACCACACGCCACCGGGTGGATCTACTCCTGCTTGGTAAGCAATGGTCGCCGCAAGAGCGGCGAGCAACTGAACGCATTCGCGTGTTTTGTCCAGAAGATCATTGTGACCGTTTTCGTCGTCCCTGCAATTGCTAAAAAGCAGAGCATTATTAGTGAATAGTGATGAAGAAAAAAAAACTCTTGATCATTAGGTACTACCTAACTTCTTTGTTCTAAAATTTGAACGTCGCTACAACATATGTTATATACTCCCTCCGTCCACGAAAAAATACAACTATGGCATCCGTGTCGGTCAAACTAGCTCGACTTTGACTAAGTTGATAGTAAATAGTATTAGCGCATATGTCTCTAAATAATTTTTTTATTAAAATATATTCTATAACTAATCTAATGATACTTATTTTGTATCATGAATGTTAGTACTATTTTATATAAATTTAGTCTAAGTACAAACTCTTTGACTCCTTGAAAAGCAAGAATTGTATTTTTTTATGGACTGAGGGAGTATTATAGTCAGTAGTCAAAAAATACAATTTGTTTACCATGTTATTTGTGACTAGCGGGCTATTTTTTTCATCATCGTGTATAATTGAATCATGACTGACCTATTTCTTCCTCACTGTTATTTGTTTGTGTAATTTTTAAATTCTATTATATGAAGTATAGTACTGTAGGAAAAATAGAAGTGCACTACAAAATCTACACAAAATATATATTTAGTATTTAACATACATATATCATTTGGAAAAACTCAGAGTGGCACTTGGTGAGCAGTGCCGATTAACATTTACAAGGAAAAAAATAGCATATAGCCTACTATTTCTAAGTAGAGCCCCCAACGTATACTCATGTTAATTCTCACCGAACTTGCAAGAAAAAGATAAATTCTAAAAATCCTCACAACAATAAAAGACATGTGGCCTTTAATTTTATAGACTCCAATCGTCATAGCCAATAATAACCATTGGATCAATACATTTCTAAATTATCCACCTCTACCATTATAACAAATAATCAAATATAACCCATAATATATTTTTTTATAAATTACCATCTCTATCTTCATTATGAGAGATAATGCAAAGCACCTATGTTTGGATTCAAATTACACATATATGTCACTATGAAAGATAATATAAAAATATGTATAAATGATCACCTCAACCATTATAAGAAAATCAGAAGTATTTCTCAATCTACATTTAAATAGTAAGATAATCTATTTAAAAAATAATTCAATATCCATAAAAAAATGCTATACTTATATATAAATTACACAGTTCTACAACTATTAAGCTAAAAGTAAGCATTATATAATCTTCCACCTTATAGACTAAGTAAACACACACTACCTCGTCACCGAAAGAGTGGCACTCGCATTTTTCGAGAAATCAATGAGTCTTAAGTTTGATCAAATATATACAAAATAATACTACTATTTATGAGGTGTAATAAGTATCATTAGTTGAATTATGGAAAATATTTTCAAAATTAATCCATTTGGAGATATAATTGTTGATAATATTTTCCTATAAATCTAGTCAAACATAAAAAGTATGACTTAATCCAAACCGAGAATGACACTCTTGCAGGGACAAAGGTAGTATACATTAGGATAAATATTTCTTTTAATAGCTTATTAAGCTTGGAGAAATTTGAATATTCAAATCAATGTAAGTGAAGCAGGAAAAATGAAAGTTTGTACGTCATCCTCGAATATGATTATGAATGCAGAATGTAAAATTTCAACCTGCCTGTGATGAATGAAGACGATGTTAATATATATATATATATATACCTTTGGTTGTCGTTCGTTATGTTGAGGTTGCTTTCGTTTCTGTCGGTAATATTGTCTTTGTCGATAAGAATCTTCGGGACAAAGATGCAGGCAACAACTGGGGCAACTAGGCAGAGAACATAGATGGTGTGCTTGCTGTCCCTGCAGCTTCCAGCAGCGTAGGCGGCCCCGAGGCCCAAGAGCGCTGTGAGGATGCACACATATAGCGCAACATACGGTACTCGGGTACTCCCCTTTATGTTGAGCCTGAACTTCTTGCGATCGACGATGAGCATGATGGCGAGCAGTGACGCGATGAAGGCGGTGGTGTTGCAGACGAAAAAAAATCTGTAGCGCCGGGGATGGAGTGCCTGCAGCACCGGGTCGCCGGCGGTGTGGTGGCCCTCTTCGGTGCTCCGCCAGAAGCCGCCGGGCGGGTTGAGCCCGGCCACGTACGCGATGGTCGCCGCGAAGATGGCGAGCACCAGCAGGATCTCGCGCTCGCTGCCAGCTAGTGCCTTTTTGGCCTTAAGCTTGTCTGCTTCGTCATCTCGGCCTACTGTGGACACACGACGTAGTGTTGGACGGATTCTTACGAGGACGACACTCAAGAAGACGACGGTCGCGTAGGCGGAGACCGCGGAGACCAGCACGGCGATACCGCAGAGGGTGGTGAAGCTGTCGTGGCTGCTCCCGGCGGCGTAGGCCCCCACGAGGCAGAGCAGGTCGAGCACCATCACCGTCTGCAGGACGAGGAGCAGGTACACCGCGGTGCCCTTGCGTAGGACGAGGAGGAGGAGGCCGACCACGAGCGACGCCGCGAAGGAGATGGCGTTGAAGCAGTAGAAGACGATGTAGCGCCTGTAGTTGGTGTCCCGGAGGATGGAGTCGCCGGCCACCTGCCCTCCCGGAGTGTCCTCCTGCCAGGAACCCCCGGGGAGGTTGAGCCCCGCCGCGTAGGTCACCGTCGCCACCAGGGTGGCCAGCAGCAGCAGGTACTTCTTCAGATCGTACTCCGTCGATTTTGTAACGTTTCGGTCTTGTGGGAGTAGTAGTTGCCACCACGATGGTACTTCGGAACCGGCCATTCTAGGGTTGGGTGCTTTGTTGAGGGACGTGAAGCTCTACTATTTGGGTTAGATATGGTACCAACCAATGGGCTGAGCTCTACGAATTTATAGAGGCCATCGAGCGGGAACAAACAGCTACAGTACGGGTCACTGCGTCTGCGCTGCATGCGCTGATGTATGAGTCGTGTGTCCCAATAATGGCATCACTTGATCAGGTCCTCTTAGTTTGGACTTTATATATTCCCTTGTCATTTCGGCTAGGATCCACTTTAAATCTTTTATGCCATTTGCATTGCATTCAGCAGTCTCATGCAAGTCACCAGTGTCAGCACGTTAGGTTTCGGTCCCTCATGTCTCGTGCACACTTTATTTTAAGCGAAGCCTAAACAAATATTAAAGAGTAAGTGTCATTCTGTATGGCAGCATGGGGCGAGGCGGCGGTTGAGCCACCGTCCGGAGAGCGAGGGAAGGCTGTTAGGCAAGGCAAGGATGACGGTTTTACGGAGATATATAGCCTGGTGTGACCTCTGTCGGATTATTGTGGCAGAGGTCGTAAGAGGTGGTGGTGGCAGCAGGGTGACACATCGGAGCTGGGCAGCAGGCAGTGGTGGCGAGGGAGCTCGGCCGAAAATGAAGAAGACGACGAGAAGGAACATTTCATAGATTTAAGGGCTGGACCGTGGTGGACGATGATGGATCTGGCAGTAGGGGAGCCGCCGGAGTCGGGCAGGGAGGCGGATGCGACAGGGGCGAGCGCAGCCCATGTGGGTCAGGCGTGGGCGTGCGAAGGAAGGAGAAGCAGTGAAGAAGGATAATATAGAGAGTGCTTTGATCTGGAGACCCTCCAATTTTTTATATCTAAAGAACAAAAAATGATGGTTGCTTTTGAATCATTTTGTTGTTGCCTAGACAGACTCGCCAATTTATCCATGCAAACGACTGAGCCGTCATCTTCTAACAGAAATACTATACAACACACATACGTTTTAGCAAAAAAAAAACAAATGAATTTTCTCTCTCTCTCCCTCTCTCTTTTCAACCGTCTTCTGCCACGACGCACGACGTCCAATCCGTGCCAAACTCGCCGATGCTGGACAAGAACTCCCCGTTCGGGTCTACCTCCTCGGCCCCATCGCTATCGAATCTTCCCCTATACGCGTGCGGCCGGAGGACCACCCGTCGGACACTCGATTTGTCGTTCCATATAAAAAATTGTTTCTTTGTCCTTCCATAGAAAAAAAATTATTTTTTGTGATATGTGGATCTGTGATCTTATGATTTGTGATTGTCTGGAGGTAGAAGAAAGCTGGAGGTAGGAGGAGGATGGAGGCTGTTGGATCTTAATTCTATGGTGCAAAAAAATTCATGTATTAAAACTGCTTAAAACACATGGTTGTGTAGTAGACAGACTTTCTAAAGCTCCGCACCCTCACCAAGAAAGAAAAAGCTTCTTGTCCAAACTATAGGGGCACAACTTTTTTGTTTCTTAATTTTCTTCTTGTTCTTCTTGCTTCTTCGGCCCCTCCAGACTCCTAGAAAAAAGTGGCCACGCTGTAAGGCGGGCGGACCCAAAGGTTGTATCTTTAATTTCCAGCCATGCTTATGGTATTCCCACGCAACAACAGAAGATCTCTACACGTCAGGTATTCCCACGCAACAACAGAAGCTCAATATATTTGTTCTGGACTTCTTGTGCCTGACACTCCCTCCTCCTCAAAAACCAGCTTGCCCCCCAAGCTGGACAACTCGGAGAACGTCTCCGTTTATCATTTACTTCTTCCCAAGTAACTAAAGAAGCTGGCAGCTAAGAACCCAAACAAGTAGACTGAATCCAAATGTTCCAACGCATGAACCTCCTGATCTAGGTCCAGTGGCAATGACATGATGTCTGTCTCGACATCCACCGTTGCAAGAATATGGCGTTTCAACTGAGAGGCATGGACAATGTAACATCTTGAATTTTGAACCTAAAATAAAAATCACTAAAAATTTAAACTTTTTGAAACTTTACTTAAAAACAAATAGACACCAACTCAAAAAGGAATAAATCACTTAATTCAACCCATCTAGGAATTAGTGTAGCATAAACAAATAAAACAACCTAATAAAAACAACATGAGTGACCATGTTTGGAACGCTTGATTGCTTTATTATTTGAACATATGGTGGTACACTTTTTCTAAAAACATCTCAACAAAATTTGAATCCAAATTTCATATCCAAACTCAAACTAGAAAATAGAAAAGGGAAATAGAAATAGGAAAAGAGCACCGGGCTCATTCCCTTCCTCCCTCTCCCTTCGGCCCATGACAGCCCGCTCTCGTCAGCGCCGTCATCTACCACTCACCATCGACGCGAATACCACGTCGTGGCAGGGTGCCTCGGTCGCGCCGCCGCCTGTTCCGATCTGGCGTGATGGATAAGAACGACGTGCCTCCAGAACCTTCCTGGCCCCACCGCGTCTCACTCCTCCCCTCTCTGCTTCTCCCTGCCACCATGGCCACGCGACGGCTCAGGCTTGCTCGACCGTTGCACCATGACTGAGCTCCGAGCTCCCAGACAAGAGGACAGATGAGGTAGCACTATTGTGAACCGCCTTTGGAGTTCGAAGCACATGCGCGGCGGAGAAAATATCTCCAACAGTCGGAGAAAGATCTCAACGTCGGCACCGCCATGGCCGGCCTATAAATAGGCCCGGCCGGTGACGCTCCGGCCTCACCACCACCGCTACGAGCTTCACCGCAAGCTGGAACACGCCATCTCCCCCTCCATTCCACTTCTCCCCCTCTCTATAGAGTTATAGGCAAACTTCCCCAAATCGGGTGCCGTCGTAGCCATTGGAGCCGTTTCCTTCTTCTTCCTTCTCTGCTGGGTCTTGGGTCGATTGGAGTGGCAGGTAAGCCCTATGGCCCCTCCTCCACCTTCTCTTCCACTTAGTTCTTCCTTTCCCCCTTTGCATCACGCTACCACCGAGCACCAAGCTCCGCCAAGCCACCACGAACGCCGGCTAGCCATCGGCAAGGCTCGACCGAACAATGCACCATCACTAGCACTTTTGGCACACCACCACATACACGTACACATAGTCAGTAGATTGTATTAGGTCCCCTAGCGACATATCCACTATACGGCACCGACGCGGGTGCTCCGGCGAACCGCCACCACCACCACGGGAGTCACCGTCACCGGCAACGCCACCCAGGGTTGCGGCACGGCCTCCCAAGCACCGTCCACCACTCCACTACCCGCACCGAGGCTCGGCGTCACCGGCGTGGCGAACTTCGATGAGCCTAAGCTCTCCCCCTGCTTCCGTCACCGCACTGGCCACCGTCCGGCTACCGTTTTCCCTTTCCCCCTATTTCTCTCGCTGACGGGTGGGGATGGCTGGAGATGCCATTCCGACGCTGCTCCATCCTCGTCCGTCACCCTCTTCCCCTCTTCTCTTTCTCTGCCACGTGTGTTCACGGCAGTGACGCCGTCCCCGCCGTCTCACGCTAACGCCAGGCTGACCCACACCCCGACCCCACGTGTCAGACACACACAATACATACAGCGCACAGTATAGGAAATTGCTAGGTGCACCCGGCTATTGCACACAAAAGGTTATAAAACCTATTTCCCGATTTAGAAAAATTCCTAGAAAAATTTGTAAATAAACTAGATGCACTCAGGAATTTAACCATATAATTTTCGCTATTTTTCACACACTAAAATATCACCATAAAATCCTTTTAGTTCTCAAGACTTTAATTAAACTTCTAAAAATCATAACTTCGTTTCCCACGAAACCACTTCCATAAATCTTCTAAAAATGAATACTATCAAATCCACCTAGTGCCACCATATTGTTCTATGCTTGTTTTTCCTCGTTTGTTTCCAAGTTTGGCGGTAGTCTTATTTATTAAGCGCCAGCTAGCAGAAGACGATAAGTACCAAGAAAGTGAGGACCCAGACTACGTCGAGGATTCGGAAGGAGTCAACAACGACGGCAAGTCCTAACTCCCCTCCACCAACTCCATACCCCACTACCTCCACCATAAACCCTCCGTTTTCCATTCCACTAATTAATCAACTAAACTTAAATTATGTTATTCTCTCATTGCGAATTATGGATCATTATGAGCTTGATTATCATGTGAATATTGATGAAATGGTAAGACGTATTATCACACCTTATGAGCTCTGTGATATAAATGAACCTGAGGATAATTGTGGATCATAACTCGGTAAACCTAAACTTAAGATCGACAGGGGGCGAGTGAGGGGTAATTCATGTGGTATGGATTACCTTGGCAAGATTGCCTAGTGAGGATTCCAGTTGGAAGATACTCGCCTCGGTCATATAAGGACTGGTTCATAGGCTTTCTCGCCTAGCTAGACATTACGTACATTCATATGTCTATATGGGTGGACTTGATCTCACACCCCGTTAGATGGAAGTATAATTTCTACTAAGAGGACGATGTTGGCAGTGGAATATTAGGAGAAGACCTGGATGCTAAGTGATCTTCCGTGGTCCGGTTGGCATGGTTGCTGAGTGGTCTTCCACGTTAAGCCCTTGTTTGGCCGTGTTTGAGCCCCCTATTATTGACCGGATGATGTGGTATCATCCGGGTTATTGAAATGGGTGACTTGGTATCACCCGTATTATTTATATGGATGATGTGGTATCGTCCAATGTTTTCCTGAGTATTGTTTGGAGTATCTGTTAGAATCTTGGAATCAGTTTAGCAAGATACTTGGCGTAAGGTTAACAGGTATGCAAAGTAAAGTGGAATCCTTATCAAGAAGATGGAACTGCACGAGGAAGTAAAGAAGAATCTAAAGACGAAGTACCCCTATCTCCTAGTCGACGTCTTCTGAATCTCGTGGACGAGATTCATCTTGAGGGGGTAGAATTGTAACACCCTAAAATTTGTCTCTTTTGAAATAGGATTAAAATGATTTATTTATGAATTTTGTGCTCATGAAATATAGAAAAAAGAATATTTTTCATTATATTAAAACTCATCCTAGGG